AGAAACGTGAAGGACACTGCGCCGGCGGTGCCCGCCCGGGCACCCTGTGCAGGCCCAGATCCGGCACAGGCCCCGCCGCAGCTCCTGGGTGAGGGACGGGGGGAGGAATCGGGCGTTTGCTGGGGACAGAGGTAGCCGTAAGGGTGTCGTTGGAGCCGCAGTGCGGGCCTGCCCTGGCTCGCCGGGGTGAGGTGCAGGCTCGTCCCGCCTCGGGCATGCTCAAGGTGAGCTCCTCGCTCGGTGAGCCCCCGTGAAGGGTTTTGTACATAATCGGGTTCTGAGGCCCCAGCGAACTGGATGCCGTTGCGAGAAGCAGAGTAATGAGTGCCCTGTTGCCAGTTTTCCAGGTGGGCTTTGGGGGCTGGTGATGCCACAGCAAAGCGAGTTGTGGTGGGGATGACTTCAGTGTCCTTCCCTGGAGCCTTCGGCTTCAGTGGTACAGATGATGAGCATTGCAGTATGAGGGGCAACAGTGATACTGTAAACGCTTTCTGATGTACCTGCTGCTTAACATATTTCGTTTAAGTCCTACCTCTAAAAAGGAATTTTACATATTTAATGAACATGGGGAAAACTTTCACGATGAAGGTAATTAAATATTAAATAAATATGTGGGATCTGTTTTTTCAGCAATATTTATACTTGACTGGGCAAGACCTTCAGCAAACTGGCCCTGCTGTGAATTGGAGGGAGAGGGGAATAGTGGAGAAAGTTACTTCCAGAGGTCACATCCAAGCTATTGTTCTAATTACTGTGTTTCTTTACTTGAGAGCAAGGGAAATTGTTTTGAGACCGAGTATTTGTTTTGTCAGTTTGACTCCACCTGTTAGTGCTCTGAGCTTTTCACCATTTTCAGGTCAATGAGGAAGTAATTCCTGTGTTGATTGCAAAACTAAAATTCTTTTTTTTTCTCTTCTAGAACCTTCCCTTTTCTGTGGACAACAAATGGCGATTACTCGCAGTAATGTGTGGATTCTTTGGTAGTGGATTTGTTGCCCCTTTCTTGATAGTCAGACACCAGCTTCTTAAGAAGTGAAGAGGACAGGCAGTGATTGCATTAACTGGGTAACTGGTTTTGTTAGATTTCTTAGTGTTGTGGAATCTGTGGTCAGAAATGAGCTTTAAAGACTCTAAACTCATCTAAAAACATTATTATAATTTTCAACCTTTAGCAGTTCAGGCACTTAGAGTTGCTGTCTGCAGTTGCAACTAAACTCCAGTAATGAATCAGTTTAAGTTTGCTTCTCACACTGTGCCACACTCTGATGAACTTGTGAACTTTGACTCCTCAGAGGCCACACCTCTCTGGCTGCAGCTTCTTGCTACTCTACAGCTGGGGTAACTGACAGAATTGTGCTACTGGTTTGGTTTGGATAATAACTATAGCCAAAACTATGTCTACCCTCTTGTTTGAGGAAACATAAAACTACACTTCATGTAATGCGTGGGAATCACTGGCATGTGTGATGTGAACAAAACAGTATGAGAAACCGTGATACTGTAAACGCTTTCTGATGTGCCAGTTAAAGAAATGTTTTCCACTGACTTTTAACTTAGTTCAACCATGTCAAAACAATCACACCATGTATGTACAATGTTCCTGACTGTTTAGGGATAAAGTGAACTTAAAGCCATTAACAGCAGAAGTAATTTTAATTGATGCTTGCTGAGACAAAGCAAGCCTCAGGCATAGTTCAGACTGTAGGCATGTCATTTCCCATTTAAAGGCCACTTCAATTTATCTTAATCTGATTCTACTTTAGAAATACCTGGTATTGTCAGTTCTATAATCTGAGAAACAATAAATCTTGTTGAGGAGCTAGAATGACCCAAGTAGTTCTTAGAAGGAAATAACAATCCTCACTAATCTAATAATTAGAATCATAATTGGAACAAACTGTAGTCATCTGTGTAATTCCTTTGTTGGTCTGGTGGTTTGGGCTCCCTAAACTAAGGATCAAAAAAAAATCCTGATACTTGTATTGAGCTTGAGCATTCAGAACTGTATGATTTCACGTTAAGTCAAGGCTTCTGCTACAAAAGCATATGGTGAATGAAGCAAAACCCATCAAAATTCAGTCAAAGCATAGCTTATAGCTTTTCTAGATGCAAAGGTAAGATGTCTTAAATTTGTTAATTCTTCTTTTTTTCTTGCAGAGTTGAAGTCTTCTAGACGTCATCTTTCAATGGGAAAAGGATAACTGCAATTGCATACCATGCTGGATGTGTCTAAATAAAATCTTAAATCTGAAGGTCTTGTGCAGTGTATTTTGTGAACCTCCTAAAGTGCTTTTGGTAACTGGTGTATAGTGAGAGCCTCTTCAAGTTGCAGTATATTGATATTGAATTAAATACTAATTGTCTTCATGTATAAAAATAGTGGGTTGGAAAAATCACACTTCAGAAATGAAGTTGGGTTTAACGTTTTTAGCAGGATAGGTGTTAAAACAGGTTTGTGGTCTTCTCAAATACTCTTCATACTACTCACAGAATAATGACCCCAGGATAGATTGTACCCAGTGAGCCTCACAGTGGGTATACTGTCACCACAATCCGTGCTGCAGAATTTTTATCTTCAGTATTTTGAGTTGATCACTTGAGAACATTTTATTTGGCTTTGTCTTCTGCACTCAGCTATTCTAAAGAGCTGCTGTTACTAGTTCTCTAGTGTGCTGCATTACTGATGCTCTGAGCAGGGATGTGCTTTGCTCTGCAGATTTCATTAAGCTGCAGGCGCAGATGATGAGATAGCCTGGAAAAGAAGTGCAGCAGCAATAACTATAACTGACCAGAAAAAAAGACTGATTGTAGTCTATAGCTTATCAAAACTCTTGATGTAGCTGCGAATTTGTAGCTATTTGGAAAGAATTGCTACAAACTGAAAGTTATCTGTAGTCTTAGTGCAGGGTTGTGCCTGGCAGTGGGGCTTGTGTAACTAAACTAACATAGGAGCTGTGAAGAATGCTGTTGGGATACTTTTACTAACTTGATTATGACAGATGTTTAAATTTGTGGCTGTGCTGATGGCATGAGTAGAAAATCATTTTCACAGCCCCTCTTGTGACCTCTTGGCTAAAGATGCAGGGTATGAAAAGTGCTGGCATAACCGAGTAATGGTGATTTCACCCTTGAAAATAATGCTGTTAAGTGGTAAGTATTTGGAGACCAGCAAAGGCTGCAGAAAACTGATAATGAAGAAAGCAATGTTCAGAGGAAAGATTCCCAAACTATATGGGTTCAGATAGTGAGACTATGGCTATGACTGAGGAACAGTTACATGGTATAAGTCATGTCTTAATGTACTGTCTGCAGAGTGGTGCCTCTCAACAGAGACTCGAGAGTGTGTCTTGTAGAGCAAACGAACTACGTGTGTGCACTGTAAGTGATCAGGAACAGCTAGGGAATCCAGAAAAGGTGGCAATTTCTTGGTTTAGGTATTGGGATTTCCTGGAAGCACTTAGGTACTATAAAAAAAAATTCCACCCTTTTTAAACAAAAATCAAAATGAGAGTTTTTAGCTGATGTCTCATTTGCCTTTTGTTGCAGGTGAGCAAGTCAAATGTGTCACAAGGCAAGTCTGAACAGAAGCCTGTTACAGAATCACATTTCTCTTATGGATCACAAATGTCACTTCCACTGTGTATTTATATGTACCTAGCTCTCTGTGTTTGTTCTTAAATAACTTGATGGTTTTGGTTTTGTTAATTTCCCCCCTTGCTCCCAAGTCCTTGATGTATTTGAAAAGAGTAAGCATCATCTCTGAAGGCTTATCTTGTGGGCTAGGCAAAATGGCTCCTTTAGTCTGCTTAAAATAAGGTCTCCTTTCCAAATACCATTCCCTTCTCTTTACTTTTTCTATTTAAGTATATTTTTGAGCATGGATGGTTAAAGTCAAACCAGTTATTTTTAGATTAAATGTTAGAGACTTTCTTCTCTCATGATGGATTCTAAAACTATAATCATCTCTTTTCACAGTGTCGTTACATTAATGGATCATAGTCATGCAGGAGCAGAGAGGTCCTGGGGGCTACTCATTAAAAGAAGTTTTCAAATTATGACCCTGTTTCCAATCCTGCCACCAACTTATAAAAATTACTGATGTGAATCACAATACCCATAACCTTTCATCTCCTGCTGTTTTACTTAATTTCTACTACTGCAACTGTAAGGCATACTCAGGGGGATATGTGAACCTCCACTGTGCTGATGGTTGTCTTCCAGCTGTTAGCCCACTCTGCGTGTGCCAGAAAGAGTCATGTAAAAATCGAACATCAGCCCTACTTTGGATAAGTTAGCTGACCAAGTGTATCATGTTAGTCATAAACTATCTAATGATAAACCCGTGTTCATGGTGTCCCGTTATTCATTAATCTTTCCTTTAAAAAGAAAGTTTAGTGCAATTTTGTAGCCTTTTTAATCTAATGTACTCAGTTAATTCTTTCAAGATTTCTTGAGTATAGGTTAAGTAGACTTGCTGATTTTGATCCATGCAGTTCTCCAGTTGCTAGCTTATTTTTTTTAATACGACACCTGCATACTGTAAGTTTCAAAATGACTAGCCATATTCTTCATTCATTGCAAACTCTGTTATTCTTATGTGCTGCCAAAGCTGTAATTAGTCCCTTTAGATTTGGACTATTTCTCTACATGACTTGCTTGGGCAGTTTTCAGTAATTTTCAAGGCCCATCAATTATCAAGTCCATAAGTTCTCTGTCTCACTTAAGTAATTGGTTCCCTTAGGTTTTCAAAGCTTTCACTTCTGTAATAGAAACACATTAACAGGTCTGTTTTGAGATATCTCTCTGTTAATGCAAAGTGGGACAGTCTGCATTTTACCGAAAAAGCATGTTTTAACTGCTAGATTATCTATAATCTCATCATTGTCGATACAGCAAAGTCTAAAATTTTTTGGTTGCTTGGGTTGAAAATACTGGTTGTCATAGAGAGGTGTGTGGTATATCATTAACATCAGATGTTTGACGTGTTTAATTTCACAGAGGCACAACTCCAGGTTGTATTTGTTTCTCTGCTGTTATGAGAAGATCACTGTTTATAGCCAAGCCTGATTTTAGGAGCGTATGTCAGAGCACCTTCCTTCTTCAACCCTTTTTTTCTTTTATTTTTTTTTTTCCCCTACTGCTCCCAAAATTATGTTGGTCTTAATCTGTTCTGGTTTACTCATTCTATGGTTTCCTATTTAAGTCCTACCACTCTTTTATTTGCTTACTGACTGCTAAATAGGTAAGCTACAGAAACTCGGGTAGATTTTTGAAATACACCTATTACTAACCACTGTTCATGGCACCTCTCAATTCTTTTCTTCCATGCCTAGCTCCACAGGGTGGAAAACCTATCCATGGTAGCAAAACACGAGGGTGAACCAAATGATCTCTGATGAAAAGCTTATGCTGGTCTCAGGGAGCAATGCTGTGGGCAAAATAACTTCAAAAAACTGCCAATTTGAGATACTAATGTATGACTTCAAGAGGTGCTGAGTCTTCTATTTACTTCACATAAATGGGACTAGCCCAGCTCTGCAGCCTGACAAACCCTACCCTGTCATCTCCCGGCACAAGTTAGGGGATAATTTAGCCAATTTTGACCTCAAAGAAACAAGAATCTCATCCGAGAATGACTTCTGTAGCCGCATTCCCACCACAGACACTAACATGGAAATACCCAGCCCTGAGTGATTGCGGAGGTGGAGGTGACACTGTAGCCATGTAAGAACAAACCACTTAACAGTATGTTCCATCACACGCAGCTATATAATGGTCTGAGTGCCCAATTAAATATTTATTTTTAAAATAACCTTTTAGGTTCCCTTTAGGGCATGTGGACTTGGTAGAAGATAACTCAATTGAAAAAACAAGAGGTAGAAAAATAAAACACTTTCAGGCTTGATTTTGTAGGCAAAAAGCAACATGTAAGTGGTACTTCTCTAAATTGTATGAAGGAAAAAAAGTGGTTAAAGGACATCTGGGAAATAACACATCTGTGTGAATGATGATATTTTTTGTTTGCTAGATGCCAGT